ACAACATTTTTATGTTTAGGTATCAATTTGAGTTTTTCTTCGTTGTAAACTTGCATCTGTAACATAGAACTTTACAAAGAAAATACATACTGCAGGCCTGTAATTGTAAACTGGAAATGCTAAGTTGTAAGACTTGTACATTGTCATTAAAGGCAGAATATTTTAGGTTTGGTGGTACCAAAATATAGAATCTGTGAAATAGAATTTGCACATAGCATTAATATTTTATGAAAATTGGCACACTTATATGTAATAATCATTGTAAGATGTTTAAAGGTGTGTGTATATAGAAAAGGCATATTTATGCTGTACATTACCCGAAGCAAGCTTTTAATAAAGTAACTCTTTTATAAATAAATGCTTCGTTGTTATTTACTTTTTTATTCATACTGTGACTGATATATTATTGAAATTATTGATAACTGTTAAAAGATTTCAGCTAAATTGGTAAGCTCAGATCAGTTGGTTTCAGTTAAATAAGTTTAAATTCTCTGCATGAAAAAGAACAATATAATTATGAGTAGCTAAAAGAAAGAAATGGGTGATGAGAGAGAATTTTTAGTGACGGGCGGGAATTCTTGAGCCTCATTTATGTATATTAAATATATTTAAAGGGACGTCCCTTTAAAAAGGTCGCTTATTTTCAGGTAAACATTGATATCGTGCACGAACATTTTGATTTCTGATTTTTACAGTAAAATCATATTTTCTTATTCCATACACTGTCGAATGATGGCAGTACGACACTTCTGTTTCTTCCGTTAAATCTCTAAAGAAGGACGGGGTCTCATGAATTCGGGTGTGTTGATTGGTTAAAACTATATAAGGGGCGGAGTCATTATCTTTTGAATGTAACCGTGCTTACTTCTGTTAGTTTGACGGGCGCCATTGTTGGGGAGTTTGTAGAGATGTTGTGATCCACTAAATTATATTTATTTAGCTAAACATTTTTTGTGCCGGATTAGATCAACCAAGACCTGGTTTAACAGTTACACAAGTAAATAGGTAAGTTTTATTTATGTAGTTGATATTTACAGTTGGTTTTCTTTGTTTTTGAAAGGGAAACGCGTCAGTCCTTTAACGTTAGCTGCTACTTCAGCAACCGTAAAGAGTTAAACACATTAAGAAAACTAAACTTTCTTCCATCTAATGTATCTTCATGTCTTATTACTTATATATGGATAACGTTAACTTACTGCACTTATTTCCCGGTTGATTTAATCGTGTGTTGTGCAATCTCAGAAATGGCACAGCGTGTGGCTGTGGCTGAAGCTCCTGCTGGATCCAGACGGACTTCCAGAGTTCGTGTCGCGGTTCGGCTGAGGCCCTACATGGACGCGCAGGATGATAAAGGAGAGGGGCCCTGTGTCAGGGGCCTGGGGCCACAAAAGCTGGAGATCATAAACTGGAGGAACGCCACCGAGACCCTTCAATACCAGTCAGTTATAACCATTAAAGTTTGCAGTTTTGTTTTTCGTATTATGTCTTCTTTTATTAAGCACTTTAGCAGGTCACGGTCTCAGTGCAGTAGGTCATGATTTGGTAGCTGGTGCTGATATTAATCTTCTCTTTAAATGAAAATCCACTGGCTCTTCGTGTGCCTGTTGGGATAATCAGGAAGAGAAACACTCATAACACTCGTTTATACTTGGGGGGAAGGGATTTACTATTACGTCGTGATTGTGTGTTACTTGCAGGATAGTTGATTTAAAAATTAGTTTCCATGTTTATGTCAATTGTGAAAATTATATAGGCCTAATACCACAACCTTTTTTTTTTTTAGTAGTTCACAGAAAAATCTCTGTCGTTTACTTATGCGCATGGGGTTCCAAACCCTTCCATTCATCTTCAGAACACAAATGAAGATATTTTTAATGAGATCTGAGAGATTTCTATCATTCTGTTGAGAGCCTATTTACCCAAGTGCTCTGATGCTTCAAAACGTTCATAAAGACTTTGTAAAATAAATCAAGTGAGTCTTCTGAAGATACACAATCGCTTTATATTATGAACAGATTTTATTTAGGCTTTGATTCACATATCAACATTTATTAGCAAACTACATCGAGCGCTTAAATTAATTTGGTAAACAGAACCTCATGCTTGCTTGTATCTGTGTGAACAAAATTGGATTTATTTTATCACTTTATGAATATTTTGAGGCTTCAGGTTTGGGTGAATTATAGAGACTGAGGGAGGGGCAGAAATCTCTAATTTCATTATCTTCATTTCATAGTTCCAGAGAGGAAAGTCTTACTGGTTTGGATCGACATGAGAGTGACTTAGAGAATTTTTAGGACAGTTTTACAAAGGTATAAAATTGCATGTAACAAAGTTGTTGCTATTAATCTGGATACTCGACAAATCAGTTTCACAGACAGTGCTTTAATGAGCCGGGATTTGGGCTTAGTTCAATTTAGGACCTTTAAGACGGCTTTCATAAATGTGCCTTAGAAAAAAAAAACATTACTGCTGTGCATCTTGAGAAAAAAACACTGGCAGTGACCTATTTTAAGTTATGCCTGTGCAAGTTGCTTTCAGTTGAAACAGCTCAAACATGTTTGGGGACTAGCTCAAGCCTTTGTCTGTGAATCCAGGGGCACATGTTTTTGCAATGATTGATTCATGCTGGTCTGAATTGTATGTTGGATTGTAGGTTTGATGTGTTTCATGGTGAACAGACCACACAGCAGGAGGTGTTTCTGACCTCTGTCAAGCCCATCCTCCCCCACATCCTTAATGGTCAGAATGCCAGTGTGTTTGCCTATGGACCCACCGGAGCAGGTATTGTTCCTGGCTTTATATCTTTTGCAGTTAATTTGGCTTTTTAGATTTGAACTAAGTTTTATGAAGTGATTCTTATTAAATTTTCATGATGTGCTATTATATAGATAGACATTTCACACTGTAACACGGAGGATTTCTTCTTCCTCCTCTCTTCAGGAAAGACCCACACCATGTTTGGCAGTCAAGAGGAGCCGGGGGTCATTCCCAGAGCTGTGAAGGAGGTCTTCAATCTGGTTGGAGCTCAGGAAAAGGGTCAGGATGGTTGGGAATACTCAATTGGGATGTCTTACTTGGAGATCTACAATGAAAAGGTATTCTTTTGTGGGTGTACATGCGTACCACAGAATAGTTGCGCTTTTTAATTTATTATTATTATTATTAATATTATTGTTTAATGGCTTTCACGGTTCCTTGGTTAAATTCATCTTGTAATGAACGGCATTTTAGTGCTACTTTGAGTGTGAATTATCATATGCATTGAAAGACAATAATATACAAAAACTGTAAAGCCCGGAACACACCAAGCTGATGGTCAGCCTTCGGGCAGTTTTTGTGGATTGTCCAAATAAGTTTCCTCGGTGTGTTCCACACGGTTCCGTGCCGTCAGCTGAACATATTCCCCGTCGGCTTTGTTTTGCCTGATTTGACATGTTGAATCGGCGTCGGGGAAAGAGAGAACTCTGATTGGCTGTTCAGCTTAGTGAAAGAGCCGGTGCATGAGAATAAAAGCCAAACAGCAAGCAAAGAAGTCAAAACGGTACTATCTTATGTTAGTATCTAAATATTAACATAAGTGGAGTGGAATGAAGAAAGTGTTTAGCAAGAGTGATCTTCAAAACGGTAAGCACGCGCTGCTTTGTTTACAGTATGTCTATCTGCAGCCGGCAGTGTCGGTTTTCCGTTTTGAATGACGAATATGGACTAATATATCTGCAGAAATGGACAGTTGTCTCATTACACGCAGGCGCGGAATGCACATTCTAGCTGACAGTCGCCTGTAGTTCTCTCGGTGTGTTCAAGTGCAGCTTTTTACCCCGACGAGAGCGGAAGAGAGGCGACAACACAGTCGGATTTCATCAGCGCTGGTTCGTCGGCTTGGTGTGTTCTGGGCTTAAAGGTTTTGCCACAAACTCAATTGACTGGCTTCTCTCCTGTGTGATTTCACATGAGTCTCTTCAGACCTTAGAACTGACTGAAGCTGTGTGTGTGATGACCTAATTGAACTCTTTTCCACAAATTGAACACTTAAGTTATTTTAAAGGTTTAGGTCTTTGCCTAGGCCTATTTTTAATTTTGGGGTCAGTAAATGTTTTTGAAAAGTATTTTATGCTCACCAAGCCTGCATTTAAGAATACAGTAAAAACATTTAATGTTGTGAGATATTACATTTGAAAATAGAGGTTTTCGGTTTTAATGATTTAAAATAAATACAAAATTGTCCGGTGATAACAGCTGAACTTTTCAGTATCTCATTACTCCAGTCTTCAGTGTCACACAAGCCTTCAGAAATCATTCTAATATGATTTTATCAAAGTTGAAAAACATTGTGCTGCTAATATTTTTGTGGAAACTGGTAACTTTTATTATTATATATATATACATATATACACACACGCATATATAACATTTATTTATATTTAAAGGATTAGTTCACTTTTGAAAACTTTTGCTGATAAATTACTCACCCCCATGTCATCCAAGATGTCCATGTCTTTCTTTCCTCAGTCGAAAAGAAATTGAGGTTTTTGATGAAAACATTCCAGGATTTTTCTCCATATAATGGACTTCAATGGGAACCGGATGGTTCAGGTCCAAAAGATAGTTAATAACTGTTTCAGATGCAGCTTCAAATGTCTTTAAACGATATCAGACGATGAATAAGGGTCTTATCATGCGAAACGATCGGTTATTTCAAAGCTTATTCCAAAAATGTAACTTTTCTAAGGACAAATGCTAGCCTTGTAATATATTGTGAGGCGCGTTTGCAACGTCACGTAATACGTAATTACGTTCAAAAGGTCACGTGCGACGTAGCCGGAAGTGCAGAATAAAAATCGTCCGACATCGTTGTTTTACCTTTTAATTCCTTTTTTGTAAACGGCGTTTGAGTTAGTTTTCACGTTCAACCTATGCGTTCAACTTGTAAACACTCTGACTCTGTACTTCTGGCTACGTCGCCCGTGACCTTTTGAACGCAATTACGTATTACGTGACGTTGCAAACGCGCCTCACAGAATGGAGAAAGGCTAGCATTTGTCCTTAGAAAAGTTACATTTTTGGAATAAGCTTTGAAATAACCGATCGTTTCGCATGATGAGACCCTTATTCATCGTCTGGTGTCGTTTAAAGACATTTGAAGCTGCATCTGTAACTGTCGTTTGGACCTCGGTTGGACCTGGTTCCCATGGAAGTCCATTATAAAGAGAAAAATCCTGGAATGTTTTCATTAAAAACCTTAATTTCTTTTCGACTGAGGAAAGAAAGACATGGTTATCTTGGATGAAATGGGGGTGAGTAAATTATCAGCAAAAGTTTTTTCAAAAGTGAACTAATCCTTTAACACTCAC